TAAACCATTCATTCTTTTTGTTTACTTTTTTTGCCTTATTTCATTTTATTTTATTTGAATTAATTAATTCAAAAATTGAAATATGGTTGACACAATAATAGATGGTGGGTGACCCGGTAGTTGTTTTCGGCCAAAATTAAGTTTAATTTGAAATCAAAATTCATTAAACAATAAATAAATTGTAACTTCTTCCTCAGTATTAAATTTTATTTCAATAAATTTTCTATACTTCATGATCAATCTTTTTTGAAGACATAAAAACGAAACGTACTAATATCAAATTACTGATAATAACGTTTTAAAGGGTCAAAATTGTTAAAATTTTCAAATAGACTTACATGTTGTTGAAATCTTTGGATTTGGTATCCGATGGATAATCATGTGATTTTCAAGTACTAGGCACGAAGCTAGTAAAACTCTTAATCAAACGCGAAAGGTATATAAATTTGTACAATTTTGAATAACAGATAATATCATGTGACCCGATTTCGCAATGTATATTTCCTGTGATGAGAAATTTTATTTTTGTTGGTAGTTAATTTTCAGGTCCCTGGCAGATTCTCGATTTTGATTGGCTATGAGCGACAGTCAAAAAATTCAGGCTGATCACATGTTGATCTACACACATTTGTTTACATTATGAACATATAAGAATACTTTCTGATTCACCACACGACGACTTCAAAACAAACCCCCTCAACGACTGAAATGGAGTCTTTAAATGAAAAGTTTTTACTCACGTGTTTACTGACTTATTTTAAATCCTGCAAAACAGATCTCCCAAAACTCGAAGACTTCCTTAATTGTGTTCAAAATGATTCGAATAATAAAATTTCATCCTGTAACAGAACATTAATCCATAAAGTGTTTTTTTCACAAATAAGAAAAATTGCTGTACTTAGTAAGCTTTGTCACTAGATTGTTAAATTTGTTAATAAATCAAGAGTAGAAATATTATATATACTTAATAGATGAACAATCAATCGAGGTACAAAAGCTATATGAAGGTATTAATGATTATGATAAAGGGAAATTGAAATTGCTCGCACGTGAAAAGATAATAATTAAAGTTTATGTTTATAATTAATATAAATTCCTTGATTAGATTAATAGAATAATGGTTGAGATAGCCTATTCTGAATTCCATTCGTTAATGTACAAAAAACTTTAACCCTAACCTTAATCTAACTCTAATTTAAACTATAACCCTCACCCTAACTCTAACTATTTATAAATTTGCTTAAATTAAGTTTAAATAGTTATATTTATATATTACAATCTTATAATAATTCTATATTGCCCAGCTATACTAAAGATCACCAATTTCCTCTTTGGATTTGTTTTGCAGTGATTTGTTTTTTATTTATCAAAACTCTTTCTAATTCTTTTTCAGATAATGGTATTACCTCTTCTTTTTTATATTCTGAGTCTACTTTATTTAATATATTTCAGTATATATTTTCTTGTTTATTATTCTTTTTTGGTATGTCAATTTATTTTATTAATTACTTTAAGCATCAGATAGTTTTTAATTCTTGTAAATATATAATAAAGGTTATGTTGAATTATTAGTACCAATGGCATTTGTCTTTCAATTTTATTTAATGAATAAAGTTTTCATGGTTCTAAAATTTCTGGTTTGATATTCTTTGGTTCTTTATCTGTTAGTTTTAATATAAATAGACCTAAAGTTATTAGGTATTTTGCTTGTTCTAGTTGGCATCCTGTTACAATCCATTCTTTTGTTAAATAATAAAAATTTTCTTGAATTTTAATTAATTTTTTATTTTTGATTACTAGTTCTAATTCTTAAATATTTCTCTATATGCTGTTACTTTTATTGTTTTTAACTATCTTTTGTCTCCTATTTCATAGCAACGTGTATTTACACTCAACTCCAGGTTCTATACAGTGATCACATTGTTTTGGATTGTTACACTTATTTTTTTGATGTGACATTTGCCCTACTGATACTGTTGGGATCTAAAAAAATTCATCGCTCAAATTGTTTCTTAAAGTAGTATTTACATAAAGGGTTTCTGCTAACTGAGTAATTACAAAGATCAAACAAAATGTTAAAAATATGTTTATGGGTTATTTTTATTATAGTTTTTGTGTTTTTTGTTAAAGTTTATTATTTTGATTTCTTTTACTTTTGTTATAAATAATAAAATCAAATAAATGTATATGAAAGAGAAATTTTTGATGAAGTCATTAAACTTGAGAAAAATGATTTTTTAAATAACTGAGAAGTTTCATTATTCCAAATAATTATATATTCGACACATTTTTGCTATTACAATATCAATACACCACAAATATAATAAATAAAAGTTTTATGAATAAGCACAGTACTAATGCTGTTAAAAAAGAAATGCTTTATTAGTATTATATCAAGAAGTAACTAGGGGTCGAAATTTGCTCTAACCCGGGTCAAACGGGTCAGAATTCAAAAATATGCAAACACTGCAATTTACCTAATATAAATAAGTAGTACAGATTTTCACTGATCGACACAAATTGACCAATTAGATTATAAGATCAGATGTAATGTGAAAATCATGTGTTTTTTAAAAAATTGCAAATAACTCAAAATTTCGTCTATGAAACTACTTACTGTGTATTAGCAAAAAAAATTCCTTGCTAAATTTCACCATAAAAGGTTATACCTTTTTAGTACAATGCAAAAACTATGATGGAGATAACGCAAATCATGGTAATGCTGTAAGGGGTGATATAAATAATACAGTATCTTTCTTATTATAAATTACTTAATTAAAATAACTAGATCAAAATCTACGCGTACTGGACTTTATTTAAGCCGCATAGGCTTTTACATAATCTGTATTGATAATATTTTTAAATAAATTTTAATTGCTGTTGATTTTCATTCTTTTATCCGAATTGTTAATTATAAATTCTTTCGGTCTTTACCAGAATGGTTACGTATAACTTTTTAATATAGATTTAAATAAAATTTAATCAACATGCGAAAGCTCTTCCTTATTTGATCTATCAAAAATTGAAAGAAATTATATTTGACAGAAAAAACAAAGTTTATAGGTGGAATTTGACAGTAAGCCTTGCAGTAATTCTTCTTATAGAGGTTTTAATACTTTTTATTATTTATGGGTAAGCAGACTTTGTTTTCTCTTTCCGATATTACAAACTTGTATTGATTTACAGTCAATTTAATAGTGTCAAAAAATCTCAACATTCATATTTGTATATTGAACCTTATTATGTTTACACAGTTATCAGAATTACCAATTAATTCTATCTATGTTTACCAGAGCTACGAATTAATTATACCTATACTAAAGTTATTCTAACTTACCAATCTAATGATGGCCAATATTATTCTTTTAATTCTTTTATATTGAATAAATCATTAATACGACAATTAAGAATCACCTATTTTCCGTATTGTTAGCCCTATCACTATTAATAATTCTCATTATGGAGGGGTTTGCGGCTTTTTTGACGCCGAAGGCTTGAATATTGAATATTCAATTATCATAAGATTCTTGTGAATTGAGATAGAGTATAAATTAATCTAAATGATTTTTAATTCAAAAAATTTAAAATTTATTTACATATTTTTGAGTTCAAAAATTTATTTTTAATTTTTTGAAAATTTATTCTGTTATCAATTATATTAAAAAATATATATATTATACAAATCAAGGATTATTCGGTTATTTTATTTTTCCCGACCTGGGAAAATTAATATTCTTTACATTATTTTAGTTAATATATACGCTTTTATATCTAAAGTTTATTATAAGTAAAGAAGTTAAACTGAAAGATGTTCAGATTGAGGTAAAAAGATAAAAAATTTCATAGAAAATTTTGGATGAACAATAAACCTAAATTATTTTGCATTCTAGTTAAAAGTGGATTATTATTATCCGTTCAGCTCCTCTCTTCCGAGAATGGAAAAATACCAAAATGGAAATTTTTTTCTTCACTCCTATGTCGGAAGTTATTTAAAAGAAGAGCAGGGCGGATACTTATTTTGCTTGGAGAACAGCAATGAAAAATTCGAACATTGCTTATGGAACGATATTAAAAAATGTCATCCCAATTATTTGGAAAGCATTTCGAAAGAGATCGAAGACGAGCAAAAAACCATGTTTCTTCTTTATTTTTACGGAGCACAACTTTCTAGAAAAAACATTCCTCATAATATACTTAGCGGTGGCACGATATCTCTTCGTTTATCCTAAAAGGCAAGAATAATGTTAAACTTTTGTTTGCATCTATTGAACCAAAACTTACCAAAGTGGAGACAGTCGACCAGAACTTCTTACCAGATTGCAACAAAAAATTTACTGTGTTTACAATTAAAATTGGTGAGAAAATTAATTTTCGGGATAATTCAAAAGAATATCAGCAGCATAAAGTCATTCAAGATGAAAATTTGGAATTTTTTCTTGATTATAAAAAGTTTAGTGAAGACCATAATTGTCTAATTGCTCTTAAGGAAACCGAGAAAAAATTTAAATACGATGTGAGTCAAACAATTGAGTATTATAAATTTTTGTATGTTTTGGTGGACAAAAAAATAGTTAACGAATTTACCTCTCAACAAGATTAGAATTATCTGATTATTAAAAAATATTTGAACATCGAGATTTTCATAGCGAAAACATTTTACAAGGTTTTATTTAATGAAATTGAAATAATTTTCGTCAAAAAAATCACATTATGAACATATAATTACTACAACTTCCCATCAAAATATTTCTTCAATTTATGATATGAATTCTCTTTATCATTATTCATAAGAATGAAACATTCCAATGCCTTCTTATTATCAGGATAATTTCTAATAATTTTGTCAGATCGAATTTTTACTAATTTTAGTATATGCTTGAGCTTGAATATGCAATATCTCTTTTTCGTTATTTAGATTCATTTTCAATAATTCAGTCGTAATATCGATCATTACTTCTCCTTGAAGCCGTAAGGCAAACTTATCATTCGAATGAGCATCTAAAATGGTGAGAGCTTCATTAGGATTATTCATTTTGATATCTGATACTAAGAAACACGGGAAAGGTTGCTTTAGTTTATTGACTTTGTAAAGAATTAACATAAAATTATAAATATGCAAATCCTAACCTTGAATTCTTAGATAATACACATAAATACGTGCAATTGATGAATTCTGTCACGAAGGTGTTTTCATAACCTTTATTATATTATGCTAAAACGCAGGGCCAAATCTGTTTTAATTTGTTATTACATAGAAGTTACTCTAACTATATCTTGCAAAGAAGTTTATTTGTATAGCGAATATTTAATTTTAAAAACGTTTCATTTTGTATAACTTTTAAACATACCGAATATAAAAAAGCCTAAATTAATTATAATTCCGGGCATATCTCCATGCAAAATCAAATTTAATTTCAAGCAAAATTAAGTATAATTCCAGATAAATTTATTATAATTTCAAGTAAATTTTTGATATAACTCCAGGCAAAATCAAATTTTAATTTCAAGCAAAATTAACAGTATTAGGCAAAATTAGGCAAAACCAAAATACATTTTGCAAAATTAAATATAATTCCAAGCAAAATTAGGAATAACTTAACACTTTCAAGCAAAGATAAGTACAGTTCTGGACGCAAAATTTAGGCAAAATTTAAATATAATTCTGGGCAAAATTAGGCAATAAACCTGGGCAAAATCAAAATATATTTTCAAGGCAAAATCAGAATATATTTTTCAAGCAAAATTAAGTATAATTCCGGGCAAAATTAGGTATAACTCTGGGCAAAATCAAAATATATTTTCAAGCAAAATTAAGTATAATTCTAAAATATATTTTTCAAGCAAAATTAAGTATAATTCTGGGCAAAATTAGGCATAAGTGGGACCTTTGCTAGAAAAATGACCTTCCAAGGCTATATAGCTTTTATAAATAAAATTCAAATTTGCTAGACCATTAGAAATTCAGGGCAAATTTGCCCTGAATTTTACTATAAAAGTACTTCTGATCTATTTTTTTAAAAAATCAATATATTTAAGTAAAATTTTTTTTTGATAATATTTGAAAATAAGAATTATATTTTTACAAAATTTATATTTAGGTTATAAGGTAAAAAGTTTAACTTGCTTATAAGCCAAAAATATTCAAATTTTAAAAAAATTTTTAACTAAAAAAATAATTTACAATTTTTAATAAACTCTTTAAATATTGATTTTAAACCTATAATTTCTTAATAGAAATTATTGTTTAAATAAAGGATGACAATATTCATTATTATGACTTTTGTAATTTACTTATAAAAATTAAACCTTGAATTAGAAGTAAAAAAAAAATTTATAGATGGAAACATATAGAATTTAAAAAATCTAAAGAAAAATTTTATAATAAAAAATTCAAAATAAAAAGTTTAAACTTTTATTACTCTTAAATTTCTTAAAAGATTTAAAAAAATTTTTAATAAACTTACTAAAATATATTTTAAAATATATTTTTTTACTTAGAAAGTATATATCTAAAATCAATATTTCAGATTTTATTTTAAAAATAAGATTTTTAAAAAAATTTCAAGGCAAATTTGTAGGAGAAACTGTTTAAGAGATAAAATAAAAAAAAAAGTTTATTTAAATTGAATCATTGGATGGCTTGCAAATTTGAATTTTATTCATAAATCTACATAATCTCAGAAGGTCATTTTTCTAGCAAAAATCTCAAGTACTTTACAGAAAGTTATAATTTTTTAATAATATCATAATTAAGTAGTTACTAAATTGTTACCAAATTGATACAATTTTTTTTTCATATTAATATAAAATTGCTATGATAAAGTTACGATTATGGTAACCATATCATAACAATATTATAACAATATTTAAAATAAATCAAATTGCGATAATGCAACAATATATTTACGATTAAGTAACTAGAT